AAATTAGTCCAACTTCGTACCTTTCCGGCATAAACCGTATATCTCAGAGAGGTCGTCTTTCTTTGGGTTGGTAGTAATGGAATGGTTTCATTATCTAAAATGAAGAACATTTCCCACCAAAGGATCAGTCCAATAATACCACTAACTGGTAAATAGCGCAATACTTCTTCGTGAATCTCCGCTATTTGAATATGGAACAGCATAACAACGAATAGGAATGAAACGGCTATAGCTCCTATATGAACTACTGGGAAAATCATAGCGGAGAAGTCGAGACCTAACAAAAGAAGTAAACCTGAAGTGTCGCGAAAGACTGGGATGGGAAACAAAACGGAATGTACCGGATTTTTTGCACGTGCAACCATCAAACCAGAGACCAAAGCAGGGCTCGACAAAACAGAAAGTATCATGGTACGTCGTCCTTCCCTGAAATGGAACTTTCATGCTGGAGCAAGAACTAGCATGAAAGTCGATCTATTACGACCAGCGCGGTTGTTCGTATTTCAATTTATTCTTCCAAGCCTTACATGCACTAAGTTACTTACTGAACCTAATAATCGATCTATTTATTGATGATATGTATGTGAACAGCTCGTGACGCTGCATGCGCGCCCGTTCATCTCGTTGGGCGTCCCGCTCCTTTATAGCTTCGAAACTATCCTCGAGACGCTGCAGTCCCGCCTCTGCGATTTTTAGGAGTTCTTCGTTCTTTTGAAGACGGAGACGGTTTTCTTGTCGGAGGCGCTCTAAGCGTTCCTGTGCTGTGCCTCCGACAATACATGCGAGTTAGGCTCGGACGCGGAATCGGAATCGGAGGGACCAGCCTCGGTTGAAGCCGCAGCCGCTGCTGCTAAAAGCGAATAATTCTCAGGCGCTGGTGGTGGATTGAACCCACCATTCATGCCTCCCAACCCACCATTCCCCCCCTCGGGTAGAACTGCGCTACCGCCCTGCTTAGGTCATCCATTAATAGCAGGAAGAAAGAACAAGTAAGATAACCAATAATAATAATAAAAAGTAGTTGGACGACCACATAAATCCAAATTTTTCAAATGGTAGTCGTCGAATTATTGGTAATCTAAAGACGAAACCATGGGATAAAGACAAATAAAGATTAAACTTGATAAGAATAGTTATATATCGGAATGAAAAAGAGAGGTTAATTTCTGTCCATGAATCAGTCTTTTTCGCCACATCGCGTATAACGGGAATCGAACCCCTTGTAGTTCCTATTTAATTTTTATTCCCTTACTAATGAAACTCTCTTTCTTCGATCAGAATGCGAATGAAATCAAAAAGGCCATCATTGGGGAAAACAAAGAATGCAATAGCTTCGGGGGACTGTCTCTCCAAATTAATTTTGAACATATCGAGTCACAAAGAAAGCCAAAAGCTCTAGTCCCATCTCATTCTATTTAGGAATAGGATAGAGCTACTCATGTCTTATTGCGTGTTCGACCATAGGGAACGAGCTGAATAAAAGTTCCACTTATTTCTGATTTGAATGAAGGTCAAGAAGTTAAATAGCAATCTCATATTCCCCGAAGAAGCAGTTTGCTTAGCCCTTTGACAAGCTTCACATTATCAATAGAGGGAAGAGAATGCTTACCAATATTACCTATCCCGACTATTTTGCCTTGGAAGTTTTGTCTCTAAAAGTGACACTTCCTCCTTCCTTAGCTCTAAGGCTTAATAACATAGACTTGTTCCCTGTCATGTGCCTTGAGCATCCGCTCTGGACGAAGCTCGCGCTCGGCCCCAAACAAAGCTATTTATTATTTCTAGGGACCTTTTCTGTTTCGTTAAGGAGACTTGGAAACCATCGTTGACATTTAGGTGAGAATAGAGTGAGGGCGATAAGCTAAAGCCTATCATTCTATTCTCAATGGATTTCATTGGCGGGTAAAAAGGATAGAGTAAAAAAGGGGAGAAACCTCTCAACCAGTGGGTTGGTGCCAGACACATCCATCTTATTGTCACCTACATTCCCGTCTTGCTTACCTTATGCATTGGCTGATGGAGATTGTAATCCCGGATGAATGGAACTTTCGCCGCTTTCCCAACCAGAATAGAATGCAGCTCTATCCGGCTGAAAACCTTGAATCTGATACTAATGCCTTTGTTGGTTGGGCCTTTGCCTTTGATGCCTCACCACTTTCAGATTCAAGTGCTAGTTTTCTTACAATCAATGTCGATCGGGAAAGATAGAGCATCTTTTCCCCGGCCTGGGTAAGAGTCAGAAGTAAGGCCTGTGTCCATGTCTATCCATCTTATAATCCGAATCCAAGCTATACCTCCTAGCCTGTTCTGTCGGTGAAAAGTGCTAAATCCGTGTAATGAGAGAAGGCTCTATCTTTTCTACTCGTTGTAGAGTATGTCATTACTGGTCTTTCTTTGGCTTTAGCTATTCAGGAAGATTTCCCCCAAGTTTATAATTTGCTATTTTACTAGATCGAGATGCTTAGTAACTCGAAAGATAGGACTTTCTCTCTTCTACTTCGTCTAAAGCCTGTGCTGACTGTGTCGCTACTGCAAGGGAGAAATGCTCATAATCTAGTGACAATATGGGAGTTTTTTTTACCTATAAAGTCAAGAAAGGTAAGATCTCTCACGTGTAACTATTAATATAATAAGGAGCACCTAAACCGATCAGAATCCTAATCCGAAGCTTGTCCGAACCTTATGAGTGGTATGGGTAAAGCCAAGTCTTACTATTAGTACTTTTACCAATGTCTGGTGTTTGGAAAACCTTTTCGTAAGCCAATGGAGCGGGGAATAAATTCCTTTATCTTTCCTCTTTCAACGAAAATTCGCACCCTAAGCTCGCGGGTTGGGTACACAGAAAGACAAAGGCTTGACGACCTACCTAATTAGCTAGACGAACTTCCCGATACAGGCTTCCCCCAGTCCCAGGTCTTAGCTTAAAGGACATTGATTGACTCATTGATTCCGAGATAGGCTACTGCTCAAAGCAAAGCCGGGCTTTAAAGACCGAGCGAAAGGCCCCTTCACCCCCTTCCTCTTCAGCTCTTCTGTAAGGGTAAGGAACCACCACTAGATTCTGGCTTTAAGGCTGAATTGGCATTGTGCTGCCAGAGGACAGCGAATGTACTAGAGTAGCGTAGCTTCCAACCCCTGCTTAGAAAACAAGAATAAAGGATTGATTAAGAGAATAGCATATAGAGGAAGGTTGGATGTAATTCAAGTACAGAAAGACGGACATGAGCCCCCACAAACAAGCTCTCAGGCAAAAATAATTGGAAATAGGCCAAGCCTTTTTCTAGAACTGTTCGGAAGAACACATAGGAGCCTAGCCGATCAAGATCCTCAAGAGTCAAGAGAAAGAAATCGATCGAAAGAGGACTAACTATAGGTTCGATCGATCCGCTTCCTTCAGTAGTTAGTTACAAATGTATGATAGGTCTATCATTGTTGGCTAGGAAGTCTGCACAAAAGTAGCCTTGGCAAAGGCTGTGAACAGGGGTCACTGTGAGTTCTTTGATCTGCCGCAGTCTTAAAGCATAGCTCTTCACGGGTGATCCTCAATCTCAGCATTTGTAATCAGACTTAGAGCTTCTGCAGAATCAGTTTCAAGGATGCCATCTTTTATTTCATAACCTTCAACAGCATTAATCGTCTTTCTATTGCCCAAAGTTTAGCAGCTAAACTGGATGCTTTTTTTTGCCATGTGCCAAATAAAATAACCGCCTTGGTCATCTCTTGCAATCCCTCCAATCCCAGGAGGGCCAGGGCTTCCTTTTGCACACCCATCAGTCTTCAATTTGATTCTACCTGCAGGTAGTTGCTTCTTCTTTTTGTAAGGAGGAAAGGACCATTTTCTTAGTCTTGTTAAAGGTTTTTTCCTTACCTTCCGGTCTGAGTGCCATTTCCATCTCCTCTGCATAGGTCCCCTTTTATGATATTTATGGTGTGTGCTGCGGCCTTTAATTCAGTCTTTGTTCCTATCTTTCTATATGTGCCGGATAATACTGGGCAAAATAAACTGCAATGAGACGAACTGACCGCATTTAAGAAGAAAACTCAGAACGAAGGCTTATAAAATTAGTCTTTTTGGGGAGGCCCGCCCGGAGGAGAGCTGGCAATGGGCTCTTGCCTTACTTAACTTAATGGGAGGTGCTAGTACAACCTTTTCCTGAAATGGGGATTCCAAGTCGTGTTGTTTTTGTTATTTTTTAGTAGTAAGCATGGGCGCTTAAGGGGAAGCTAGCACTACATTTGATATTCCTTTCCTTGGTCTCTTGCGCTTTCAGGCAAGGGTAGCTCAAAAGTAAGAAGGTTCTTAAAAAAGACAAGCCTTTCATCCCTCCCTTCTTGGTCTGCTCCTAGGATAGTCGGGTCTAGGAATTAGGGGATTTACTTACAAATACTAAGTTCAGTCAGGAGTACTTCACTTCTAAAGCAAAAGCTTAAGCAGCCTTCTCACTAGTGAATGAAGTAAGTTTTCTCTCTAATATCATAGTCTCAGATAGCCCTACTTACTCTTCGCTTGAATATAGTGAATCTGATCTGGACTTAACTGAAAAAGCACTGTAGGTAAACTAGTTCCTATGCTTTGATGGTTTTGGGTTATAGGTTTTATCGGCTGGGCTGCTAATCTATTTTTCCAAGAAATCCTCCGAGAACTAGAGATAACCTTCTTTATTCCTAAAGTATGGCAATTTCTATATACTCAAATTTTATAAAAGTGTCCCCAGGATGCGGATGCGCTGCGCCGGATGTCGAAGATGGCATTTTCTTTCGCTAACTCTCCTTTTGTTGTAAAATCAATCCTTTCAAAAAGTAAGAATGCTATAACTCATAAGTCTAATTAGAATTTGGAGAAGAGCTAAGTGAAAGGTAACTTCTTTAAAATACAATAATATATATTCATTAGAAATAAGATAGTTCCTCCATAAAGGAGTTCAAAGAGACAAGAACCTATTCTGGCAGTCCTGCATATTGGAGGTAAGCAGGTCTAACCTTATGGATAGAGCAAGGAGAGTAAACTCCCTAAGTAATATCTTTCTATTATCTGGGCCCTATGATATTAGATCCTTAAGCCTCCCCTCTTTATATTTATACTTTTAGGGAGTAACTACTATAAGAAAGGCAAAAAGAGGAGGTTTTACCTACATAGGGTGCTGAACCAGGCTCTCCAAGTTAACTGCATCTATCCCATGTAATGGCACTCTCAGCTAGAAGGGTTGTACAAAAACTTTCAGCTTGTAAAGGCTCTCCCAACTCGAAGTAAGAAAAGATACTAATATACTGGCTAGTAAAAGACAGGGGTTGTAAGGAGAACCCAATCCCTCAGGAAGGCAACTGGGAAACCATTAGCACTAACTTACAAAAAGCCTTACATTTTTTCTGCAGCTTGCTCTATAAGTAAAAGAACTTAAAGTAACTACTGAAAGGGGTATTGGGCCTACAGAGCCAGGTAAAAACTTTCTCTACTGGCAAGGCAAGGAGCCCTTCCACATCAAAGGAACTTAAGCTTTCACTGACCCCACAGGCCTTTTTTGCTATAAGACGAGAAAAATGCCTTATCGCCAATGATGCTAACCATACCTCACTTGTCTTAGCTGAGTTAATGGTTCAATTAAATCATACCTGCCCAGACATGTATAAAAAACCAATTACAATCACGCCACCGGATGACCTAAAGATCGCGTGGTTACGCCTTAGGAACCGGATAGGCATATGAATATCTTTCCTTTAGACAAAATATATATTATTTATAACCGAGATAAAGGATACCTATGAATGAATGCTATTCCGCCGGTCAGCTGTCAAACCTCTCGCATTTAGGAAATGCTTTCAGGAAGGGTGCCCCTACATTGGTTTTAACTCATTCCCAGCTGCATAGTGCCATCCTACCAGCGGCTCCGTCTCGCAACTTTCCTTTCCAGCTATCACTCTTTTAACCACCTTACGAAATTTACTTATTTAACATATTATATTGTACATGGGGAAGTCAAGAATGATAAATAGCGTAGATAAGAAAGGCGTCGTTAGCAGGATTAGGGCTTCCCATATATTTCATTAAGAAAGAGCAGTACGAAGGTTGATTGAAGTGTGAGTTTTGCTATCCTTTTTCGACGAAGTTTAGATAACCATTTGGATGGATCAAGATGAATCCTCCAAAACATGGATAAGTTAGATCTCCTGGTTTTATCAGAATCAGATCTCCCGCTAGATTGAGCTTGTCAAGACAACTCAACAGATAGTCTACTTCAATACAGGATTGATTAGACTAAGTTGGGTAGTCGTCCTAGCTTTAGATTCCGTCCTGGCATTCTTCGATTTATAATATGGGGTGAAAGGCAAAGTCTTTATTGGACTCGTTTTTATTGAAGGCATGGGTGTCCCAACCATCTTTATTGTCGACACTTGATGCGGGGGTTTAACTTCGAGTACGATCCAGCTCCATCAGTTGAGTTGAAAGCGGGACAGAGTCCTTATCGCTTGCTAGGCTAGGGGGACGGTTCCTCATCATGAATTAGGTCGGGTTGTCTCCTTACTTAAGTCCTTCCTTTCGTGAAAAAGATTCTTTCCCTTCCTCTTCCGAATGGCTAGCGACTTTAGGCGCACGTGGTGGATTGATCATCAAAGAGGTGGGCGAGTTATTATAAGCTTTCTGTCTTTTTACACTCCCATCACGCCCTGCTAGGTTGGTTTCAAAATAGAATGCTAACTGCCTTATTCAATTACCGGGGTGGAAATGTCTTAGATCTGAAGAGTCCACTTTCACCCTTTCGTTAACTATGGCATTAAGTCACGAGGGAGAGCCTATTTCTTTTTAGGCCCTATTTTGTTTTGTAGGCATGGAACTCACTCGCTCTACTAGGCTTTGAAGTTTAGAGTTATTCCTAAAATAAAAAAAAGTTATTATAATGAAAGAATGGCACAGTCTGATAACAGTGATGGTATACTATCTCTTATTTAGACTGAAAACTGTTCTGTTAGACTATAAAGGAAGAGTCGTAAGGTTGACGAAGTCCTTACCCCGACTTATCCTAGTGCTACTCCTACAACAACAGCTATCTACTAGCAAGACTACTTTAATAAGGAAAGTAATCCTAGCACTAGGATAAGTTAAGCATGTCTATCGGTCGATTTCCCTCATGCTGTAAATAGAACAAGATCTTCTTATTCATTCACGGTCTTACTTATAAATAAAAGTCGAGAAGCGCTCCAACCAAATAGTAAATTTCGATCTTTCTTCTGTTATGATATATCTCGCATTTACATACTCCTTCCTCTTCTTGCCTGATACAGAGAAGAAGACTTCAAGCACAAGCATTGATCGACCTGTGGGATTTCACTTATGTCAATATGATGGATAAGAGGAACTTATCTATGAGCTAGAGGAGTGAGGCTAAGCTATATGCTACCCTATCTTATTATATTAAACCTGAAATGAAAGATCTTGAGACTGGGCTGGAACAAAGGGATACTTATCTCTTTAAAGGTAGCCGGCTGCTACTAAACTAATAATAA